CAGGGGCACGCGCCCTTCATCAGAACCTGAATTAACTCTTCAATATCCTGCTCTATTTACATTTTTTAACATGGAGGCTTGAATGTCTAATCCAATATAAATTACTGTTGCTGCTTGATATTATGTATATGTCATATATTTTAATGTTTAATGTTATTTGCCTTAGTGCTACATTTGTTGTTAATAATTTTTACCCTACGAATTTGTAACTATTGTGACAAACTCTAAAAAGTTCACACACTTTATAGCTGCTATCAAGATTATTAAGAGCCGCTCCCATTAGATCCACGGATCTCCCGATCTAGAGAAATGTTATCCTTTTAAAAATCTTTTAAAATCCTTTTATATTTCCTTAATCACATGATCCTTTTTTCTATATACATATACTGCCATTAATTCTTTTTAGGAATTATCATACAATAATTTTAACTATAATGCCAATGTTTTTACTCATCAGTAACGGCGGTTTCCCGTCAGACAGGTGAGAGCGCATAGTGGAAATACCGGCAATTGGCCTGACACTGCCACGTTACCTTTCCCAGTGATTGGTTAACGATTAATTTAAATAGAGCAAGATATTGAAGAGTTCATTCAGGTTCTGATGAAGGGGGCGTGCCCCTGAAACGCGTAGACCGTTCGAACTCACAGGGGCAGAGGATATTTGACCGGTTTCATTCTGCGAGACTCCCGCTGCCAGTGATTCCCATTGCATCATCTTGCATGCTTGTATCGATCGTCCCTTCTTGTGAGTACATTTTCAGCTGTGTTGCCGTTTGAATAAATGATCTTTTACACGATGGAGGCGCTCTGTTTTTCTTTGTATTTCCCAGATCGGAGGTAATTTTGACCGGTGGGAGCTGCCTCATCTGTGTTTCCACTAAAAACGTCCTAATTGGCTATCCTCTCGTAACCGGCGGCACCGGTATTTGCTTGAGTGTGCAGATCATTTACAATGCACCATCACTGTTTACTTCACAGCACACACCAGCGGCTGCGGTAGAATGTGGCCACTGGTGTGAATGAGTTCTGAATCTCACTAACGGGGATACAGACCTGGCAGAGATTCCAACGCTTCCCTTATGTATCTAAAATTACCCAAAAAAATGTACACTACAAAGCGGGGGCAAAAGTAAAGGCTCATGAACACGGTCACAAGAGGGCCGTAAGGTGCACATCCTGGCTTGCATGGAGTGACAGATGCACTTTACAGCTGCGTTCGTTCAGCCTAAAGGACCAATGACAGGCTGGTTGAAGATATGGCCGCCAGGGTATGTATGCCAGACCCACCTCAAGTGCATTGAAACTTAGGCACTGCACCAAATGCAGAGGATCTGAGTTCAGTGCAGTGCAGAAGTCCCAGTACACATGTACACAGTGGTTTTAGCACACATACCCAGACAGCCGAGTCTTCACTCACTTAACTGTGTCATTGATTTCTACAGGCTGGCTGCATGCAGCTGTACAGTGTACTTTGAGGTCCCGTTCACACTTCGCATAACACGGACGCACATTCAATCAATGGGATGACATGCGTGACAAATGCGGGAAAGTAGCTCATGCCGCTTTTTCAGCTGCAAGCATGCCCTGCTTTTTTTTCCATGCCTCCACGCGCAGGGAAAAAAATGTTTCCCGGCCGCATTTGGGGTGCTATTAACAAGTAATGGCACCATAAACACGCTGCGCATTTTTAACACGCTGTGTGAACGCGCTCGAAAGCACACACTTTGGCGCACGTTCATGCAACGCCAAATTGTGAATGGGGACTGTAATGATATAGAAACCAACTGCACTCCATACAGCGTTACGACCACTTCAAATAGGGTTGTGCTCGTAGTGGCAACGGATGACGCCATGTAAATTCTTAAACTGATTCAGGTTAAAATCACCAGTACTCAAGTATTCACGGTACAAACATAGTCTTATTATTGTAAATCTGTCACATAGGTCATACTGCCAACGTTTTGTGACCATGCAAGGTCCCTTCCTCAAGGCAACACAGTGATCCCAAGTCACTGACTTTGTGTGAACCCAAAACGCTGGTAGTATTAAGTGCTGCATTTTCTAAATTAGACTCCACTTGCAATTGAATATGTCAGTGCTGGTGACACTTTCACCACTTTTGAGAATTTACAGGGAGTCATCTGTTGTCACTATGAGCACCACTTTATTTGAACTGGTTATAGTGTTGTATGGAATGCAGGCCGTTTCTACATCACTTCAAGCTGCACCATACAGCTGCATGCAGCCAACCTGTACAAATCAACAACAAGGTGGGTGAAGATGCAGTTGTACGGGCATGTGCGCAAAAACCGCTGTACCAGAAATTATGTACTTGTACAGTACACTCGTCACCCCCAGCAAGAGCAGTACTTCAGGATGTCAGCCGTACAGCCCTCTTTGGCCATGTGCCAGAGCCCTAATGGTGATGTGCAAAGTCAATAACCCACATCAGTCCCAACAATACAAAAAAAAATGTGTGTGCTGTGGAGCTAAGCATTGTGTACAAGGCTCTTTATTATACTAAACAAGCCTAAAATAGTCACCTCAGTATAACCCCAAAGTAAACTCCTATAAAAGCTGCAGCCACTCCAGCAAATGAGCAGCAAAGTACAGTAAAAGCCTTAAATCTAATGAGATTATTATTCACACCGCAACTAATGAAATAATGGACCGGCATTAATGTATTCAAATGTGATTACCCATCTCAACACAATTGGAAAATATATTTATCTAATTATGACGAACTGGCTCTATCTAAAAGCATTTGTGTCAGCATTTCAACCACAGTCTGTGTTTGCTGCAACAGCTCAACAAGTATGAATATGAAAAGCACAAAGCAAGCAACAAAGTGACAGCTCATTGGGAGTTGATTTACTAAAGGAGTAGAGGATGTTCACTTAGCAAAGTGAAAGCTAGCAAATAGAGGCAAGATAAACGGGAAGTGTTCCCACATTAATGATTTATTTTAAGGAAAAAACTTATATTTTTGCATTGGCACATGTCACCCCAATGGTAATGACCAGCTATCCATGTCCTTTTTTTTCTAAAAAAAGCTTACAAATTAGCCTTGAATAGCCAGAAACATTCCATGTAGTAACCCATGGACTCCATCTTAAGCTGGCCGTACACCAATTAGGTTATTTATTCTAAAGCTGGCCATACACCTATAGATTATCTGCAGACTTTCTATGGTCAGATGGAAAAAGTGCAACAGATTCCTCCATCTACGCTAAACTGTGCGAATGGAGGAATCTCCCAATGGGCCAAGCTTCAGTATCTTGCTAGTCGGCCCCGCTGGCTCTCAAAACACCTGAACAATGCCTGCATCCAATCAGATTGGTCAGGTATTTTGAGAGCCAGCGGGGCCGACTAGCAAGATACTGAAACTTGGCCCACTGGGAGATCCCTCCATACACACAGTTTAGCGTAGATGGGGGAATCTGTTGCACTTTTTCTATCTGACCATAGAAAGTCTGCAGATAATCTATCGGTGTGTGGCCAGCTTAACACTGGTCTGACCTCAAGGGAATGAATCATGGTTGGTTGGTATAGAGAACTCTAAATTTTAAGGCTGTACTTTTTCTACTCATATCAATTATAAGCAGTATTTTGAGGAGATGGTAGTATTTTCAGTTCTACAAATTATGTGCTATAGACACCAGTACCATGTTGTTCGCCTGGAAAAGAACCCCACTGTTCAGGCTTTGTGGGTATTTGTAGGACAATTTCTGCTGCATTTAAACAATGACACATTCAGGACAGAACAAATTGGTGGAATGGGTTGATAAAACTTTTCTTTTGTCATTGTGGCTGCTGAGTAGCTTTCAGATATTAAATCAAGTTATGGTAATGACTTTTGAGCTAGTCTCTACAGCAGTATATTCTCTGTTAGGGATGCACCAATATATCGGCCACCGAAACATATCAGCCGAAAATTGCACTTTTGGCAAAATGCCGAAAGTGCCACTCTTTGGCCGAAATAGCGGTGCATCCGTGCTTTCTCTCCATTCCGCTGGGCACTGCTCTATGTACCAGCGGGGAGGGGAGAAACTGTCACAGGAAGCTAAGGGCTGCGGGAGGAGAGTGATGAGAGCAGCCAGCGTCTCTCCTCCCTGCACCACTCAGCCTCCTGTGACAGATCGGCAGAGCGCTGCGTGGGCGGAGGCAGCGAGCGCTGTCACAGAAAGCTGAGCTCTCCTCCCGCCCAGCCTCCTGTGACAGCGAGTCAGGAAACAGAGCGGGGTACAAACACTCAGTAATCAGTGATCGCTGAGTGTCTGTAAATATGTTTACTGTGTCCCCAATTATGAATGAATGGGAGTGATCTACATCTCCTCCTGTTCATTCATGATTGTGGTTACAGTAAACACACTCTGTCCTCACGTTATGAATGAACAGGAACACTCAGTATAGAGGATTCCAGATTATTTATAACAGGGGCTGCAGAAAAAGAGGTTGAGGACTTTGTGTCCACAATCTCTTTTTCTATTTTAAAAGGGAAATATCAGGGGTCTGTTCAGACACCTAATAATTCCCCAAAGCCCCTAAAAGTAAAGTAAAAAATACAAGTATTTAATAAAATGAATAAAGACAAATCAAATATTTAAAGAAATTTGAAAAAGTTAGAATAAAAAACATTTTCGGTTTTGGCCTGACATTTTTTTTTCATTTTGTTTTTGAAATTTTCATATTGACGCACCTCTCTGTTGATTGTTAGTGACACTCATTGTCATATAATATCACAGTATCAAATGTTCTGTGACACCTATTAAGCAGCAGCAACAGAAGATAAGAAAAGAGGGGACATGCAGAGGGATGTCTAGTACAACTTTCACAGGTTAGGTTGTTCTAGCACGACACAGCTGTCAGGGTAAGTGGATGGACACGTTCATCCTGTAATATATAGATTGTCACCTTTTTGTACAGTTATTCTATTTTGCTGACTAACCAAAGTTATATTGAAATGTTGCATATTCAGTCTTCCAAAACCCCAAACATACCAGGTAGTCCTGAATAGTGGCTACATTAACAGTAGACTTCCTCCATTGTCTCTGGTAGACCAGATCCGTGTCCAGGCCATAGGCATGAGCCAATGACAAAGCTTCTCCATACTCTTCATTATCGATCTACAGTGAGAGAAATGTTTGCAGTAATTCAATGTTCACAACAAATGCACACTGAAGCCCTTCCACTTTAGTCTGACAGATGTTTTAACTTCAGTTTTAGACGTCATTCTACCACTGAAACTGGATTTTATGAGACCAACTTGACCTATATTAACAGAAGTGGTGCCCAATGCCATGAACGACCTCAAAGAGGACAAATACTGAAGCTCTTGCTTCATCTGAAACATCTAATCAAATATGGCCAATTAAATACAGAAAATGTTCTGATGGTCATCAACATAACAAATTCCACTGGGATACGATAAAACTACTCATGGAGGCACATTTGCAGCACCACATATGGTCATCCCAGAAAACTTGCCCCAAATCAATACTGATACCTCTCCATGAGTGGCTAACTACTTACAAAAACGTGCATGGATGAAATGTTAATATGCAAGTTCTCGTCTACAGTATCATGTCACACCTTTCTCTGGTAGAGTTCCTCTGGAGTTGTTGACCTCAGGCTCACGAGCCGGTAGGTTTTAGTGATGGTGCGAGGACGTTTGCGAGGAGAAGCAAATCGTTCCATCTCTGTGACAAAGTAAAGTCCTTGTTTGATATAAGCGAAGTATCTGGCTTTGGCGGACATCTCCTCATCGCAGTCAGAATCTTCATCGCCATACTCGTCTTCTCCCGTTCTGCTCTCCAGGCGAGACCTCTTGGGGACCGATTTCACCTCACACTAGAGAACACACAAATTCTGATATATTACACCAGTCAACAGAGATAAAATTAGCATGCAAATCATTTTGTCTTATAATCCACATAGCAGAAGAGTGACCAGGCTTCCTGACTGACAAAAATGTAATGCACATTGCTGTAATCTTTGTTTGTCAAACACCAGACTTTCCATTCCTCCTTACTGCCCCTGTGGTATATCAAAGCTGAACTCCAGGCAGATATAAAAACACACAGATGCAATACACACCATTAAATGCATCTTGTACAAGCAACTAGTGCAAGTACCTGACTTATACTTGGTATCAGTCTCCTGCAATCCCCACACACAGCAGAACCCAGACTTGGAGAGGGAGGGAGGGGAAGTGTGCTGCATTCTAATGTGCTGGCAAGGAACATGTTAATATGAGCAGAGAACAGAGGAATGACCTCATCAGTCATCTGATGATGTCACAGGGAGTATAGAAACCTGTTTTTGCTATAAGAACAAGCTAAAAGAAAAATTAAGCTGGGTCATGTTCTAGGAAGGGTAAATTTGATTCATGCTTACACAAATCCTTTAAGTGACAAGCTATGTTATTGGGATAAGGAGAGGGGGCGGTGTTCTGCAGTGCAGCAAGATAGAAATCAGGCAGGACTGACACCAATATCGATTAGGAGCTCACTGCATTTCAGGCAGATGAACGGGTATTTTTCTGTGCATGAGGCATTTTTAAAGAGGCAATTAGGAAATGTGTATGTATTGCAGATATTTACTATGTATTTTTGTTTATTTTGCTGACGCTTTAATAAGGAATTATTTTTAAATTAAAAGCAGAGCAATAGCTAAGTGAACAGAGCATTGTGTACTCTTGAAAGTAACATGTTTTATAAGGCACATGATAAGTTAACGTTAATCCACATTGGATGCAATACATTGCAGGAAGACATCACATAGCTGCAGCACTGGGAACAGTGTTGTCTGCCTCCTGGAGCTTCTTCTGTTTAATGTTCCTGTCTGACTGCTTTAAAGGTATAATATATTTATCCAACCAGAGGCATCATGCAAAGTCTAGAGTCGGTTTATTCAATTCATATTTAGCAGGCTTTACACAATGCCACTGGTTGGGGCTGGGTCTCACATCCCAAAATTCTGTGTACTCAGGGGTTTACATATAGGGCTATTCATGGGATACGGATACATAGTTATATAAATATAGTATAGTAAATACATTGGAAAAAAAGCCACAAGTCCATCCAATCAGGTTATTCTAAAGATGGCCATACATATAGATAGATTATCTGCAGATTTTCTATGGACAGATGGAAAAAGTGCAACAGATTCCTCCATCTACGCTAAACTGTGTGGATGGAGGAATCTCCCAGTGGGTTAAGCTTCAGTATCTTGCTAGTCGGCCCAGCTGCCTCTCAAAGTACCTGAAAAATGCCTGCGTCCAATCAGATTGTTTCGATATTTTGACAGCCAGCGGGGCAGACTAGCAAGATACTGAAGCTTGGCCCAGTGGGAGATTCCTCCATCCACACAGTTTAGCGTAGATAAAGGAATATGTTGCACTTTTTCCATCTTTCCATAGAAAATCTGCAGATAATCTATAGGTTTTTGGCCAGCTTAAGAGAACACATATTCCTGTATGTTGTTCTCATTGAGGAAGACATCTAGAAGTTTTTTTGAATTTCTCAATGCCCCCAGCTGTTACCATACCTTGAGGAAGGAAGCTCTGCTCTGAGAGTAAATAACTTCCTATGTAATTTTAGATTAAAGCACAACCGTTCCTCCAACCTCACATTTGCCCTTGTGTCCTTTTCAGGAACCCAAGTTGTTAGTAAAGTTGTTACCACCCTAATTTGTAATTACTGATCATGTCTCATCTTAAGTGCCTCAGTCAAGCACAGAGGTGGAAAAATTATGCTGTGGGGCTGTTTCTCTGCAAAAGGTGCCATGTATTGTAAAATCTTGGATGAGAACCTCCTTCTCACAGCCAGAACACTGAACATGGGTCGTGGATGGGTCTTCCAGCAAGACAATGACCTAAAACATACCGCCAAGACAACAAAGCAGTGGCTCAAGAAGAAGCACATTAAGCTCATAGAGTGGCCTAGTCTCCAGACCTTAATCCTATAGAAAATGTATGGAGGGAGCTGAAACTCGAGTTGCCAAGCAACAGACAAGAAACCTTAAGGATTTAGAGAAGATCTGTAAAGAAGAGTGGACCAAATTCCCTCCTGAGATGTGTGCAAACCTGGTAACCAACTACAAGAAACATCTTACCTCTGTGCTTGCCAACAAGGGTTTCTCCACCAATTACTAAGTCATGTTTTGCTTGGGGATCAAATACTGATTTTACTCACTGAACTGCAACTCAATTTATAACATTTGTATCATGTGTGTTGTTTCTGGATTTTTGGTTGATATTCTTTCTCTATCATTTAAAATACACCTATGATAAAAATTATAGACCTTTCATTTCTTTGCCCTCTCCCCGCTCCGATCTGCCAGCGCTGACTGGCGGAGCGGACGGGGGAGGGGGCGGGTACAGCTGGCTCTGCCAGCTCGCGGTATACTGAGTTTAGGGTAACGGGAGGACGCTAGTTTGTGTCCTCCCGTTACCCTAAGGAGAACTAAGGGGAAAAACACTGACTCCATAGTTCTCCTTTAACTTAGAGCAGCTAGGTGAAGAATGCCATCTTCGAAAGCTTTACATATAGGGTTATTCATAGGATAAGAATACTGGCTACTACAGGGATTTGCACAAAATACAGATACTGGCTATTATAGGTATTTTTAAGCTTAAAACAGCTAGGTGCACATTGCCATTATCAAAAATCTAACATATAGGGCTATTAACAGAATACAGATACTGGCTACTATAGGGATTCAGCTTGTAGCAGCTAGGTGCACATTGCCATTTTTAAAATCCTAACACATAGGGCTATTCATAGAGTATGGATACTGGCTACTATAGGAATTCTTAACCCCTTCGTGACGGGAGACGTACACTGTACGTCCAGCCACAAAGGGACCAAATGACTCGTCACGTACACTGTACGTGACGAGTTATTTGCTGCACTAGAAGGCTGCTAACCGCTGAGAATCAGCGGTTACCTTTCAGTAATGGATGTCTAACTATCTAGAGATCCATTACTGAAAGGGTTAACCTTTTTCAGACACCCGATACCTTAATATCGGGTGTCTGAGAGTCACAGCAAAGCAGACACACATGTCGGCTTTTGCCGGCATTCTGACAGCTCGTATAGATCGAGAGATATCTCTCTCAAGCTATACTGGATTTTTTTTTTTTTTATCTTTTGACTTTCAAGAATAGATACAAAATGTTATGTATTAGACACATAATGTATCTATTCTTGAAAGTAGAATGTTTAAGTTTTCTGAAACATTCACTGACAGCTGAATCCTGAACTGCTGCAGGATCAGTGTCACTAACTTATTATCGGCTGTTCTGAAGTTTGAAGCAGCCTGATAATAAAAAAAATGTATTAATTTATCAAGCAGTAATAGTGAGATTAATTCACAATGACTGCCTGATATAATTAAATAAATAAAATTTGTCAGTATAAAAAAAGTGAAAAGTGTAAATAAATAAAAAAAAATAGTGAAAAGTGTAAAAAAATTAAAAATAAGGGACAAATAAATGAATGTATGTATTGCATTTTTTTTTTAGCTGTGCTGGTTTTGTTAAAAAAAAATACTACAAATCAAAACTGGGAAAAAAAGGTTTTTTTTACGTTTTTTCCTCTTTTTTTAATTTGTATTTGTCCTAAGTGAGGCGTTAGACACACATATGTGATATAAATATATAGCCCTATCTGTCCTCTAAAAAACAATATATAATATGTGTGGGTGCACTTTGTAAGAAAGTATATTACTGACGTGGAAGAATCACACAGCAAAAATGTCAAAAGTGTGTCAGTCATTTACGAACAGAAACCAAAAACAAGCTCAGTCATGAAGGGGTTAAGCTTAAAGCAGCTAGGTGCAGACTGCGACTATCAAAAGCCTCATATATAGGGCTATTCATAAGATACAGACACTAGTTACTATAGGGATTCAGCTTATAGCAGCAAGGGGTTGACTGCCATCATCAAAAGCCATTTAGCAGGCAGGCTGTGTTGCTTTTTATCGGGATAAACATGAAATCTTGATGTTGCAAATCTACAGCCAGAAATTTTCGTATTTCGTCTAAGCCGACCCTTTAATAATCTAATTCCTTACTCACGCTCACCGTTTTTACCAATTTCATATAATGTAATTTTCTGCCCCCCAACTTGTCCAGGCAGAGCTATATCTCTCACACAGCCGAGTAAGTGACAGCTCTCCTACCGCTACCCCAAATATCATGTGTCTAATCCTACATTAATGACTTGGAAGAAAGGTCTCCTGTGTACAGCTCAATTACTTCTGAAATGCTATGTGTCCCTGATCCGTGACACAGGGAGGAAGACTGGTGCTGGGGGGAACATTACAATTTCTATTAAATGTAGAAAACCGCATTTCCGGAAGAAGCAGTAATGGCAGCACATGTGGTTTATTGCAGTGGAGCTTTGTGTCACATGAAGGAAAGTGTAATGAATTTAGATCCACTGGCTAGGGAAAGATGGCCTGTGTTTGAGAGATGACATGAGAAGGAAGAGTGTGGTTAGTTCTATAGACCAGTGACATATGGAGGTAACCCTTAAAGAAGAACTATGATTTCCACTCATCCTCATAGTTAGAGCCGACCTGTGACAATGAAACTGTCACATGTCGGCTCTATTGATCAGGAAGTGTCATACCGTCACTCGCTCTCTTCCCGATCATCTCCCTGCAGAGAGTGGTGACTGTCAGTCACCGCTCCCCGCAGGGATTCCCCCCTCCCCTCTCTGATCCTCCAGCACTGAGTGGAGGAACAGAAGGGGAGGGGGCGGGCAAAGCTGGCTCTGCCTCTAAATAGGCAGAGCCCGCTGTCAATCAGCCAGCTGGTTGGGTCTCGACAGTATTGTTAGGAT